CCGCCGCCGCCGCCGCCGCCGCTCCCCTCGCAGGACAACAGCTAATATGGCGGCGCCCGGCTCCCCCTCCACCGCTGCCAGCAGGTCAGAGGGCACACGGAGTCCGCGCCGCCGCACTAGACCCCGAGGCTGTCTGCGCCATTTTGAATAAGGTCACAACCCGGAGTTACGTGGGAGAAAGAACAGGTGGGGAGACGCCCTCGCGGTCCCGCGACAGGAGGCAAGCCACCCGCGCAAGAAGAGGGTATCCACTGTGGTAACTGAGCTGTACGGCCCTAGGCGCTTAGTCACTGCCTGTTAAATGGATGCGTGAATTAATTTAGTGCTACAGTACTTTCACACCCATCACCTGACTTCTCGCACCCACACAGAATTGGGTACGATCGTTCCCATTTTGCAGCGGAGGAAATCGAGGCTACAAAAGGCGAAATGGTCGCTCAAAGTCATCCAGCCAGAATTTATGGGCTTGTGCACTGCCTGAGCTGAGAGGGACGAAAGGATCGTCTAGTTCTTTATTTGCAGTGTATGGTCCCCTGGGAGTACAGGGATCGGTGCTTGGGACAGCGGGACTCAGACTCTTCTTCCCTCGCCTCCTCGCCCCCAGTCTTGTTAAACAGTTACATCCAGTGTGATAAAGATGAGATAACGGGCACGCACTAGGTCAGTGTTTCCAAAAAAGTGGTTTGTTTGGGAGAAGGTTTTGAATGGTACACAAAGGAACATTTTTTAAAAATGTAATAATTATGCATTTAATTGTTAAAATGGGATTTTCTCTCCTTTTTTCAATACATGTAACACATACGCATGGTACAAATTTTTTATTTAAAAGTTTTAGTCTATGGCCATGCCGCCCTGAACAGGCCGATTTGGTCTGATCTCGGAAGCTGAGCAAGGTCGGGTTAGTATTTGCATGGGAGACTACCTAGGAAGACCAGGTGCTGTAGGTATAAAAAATAAAAAATGAGGGATTGTAAACTGACAAGGTCCTTGCAATCTGTGAGGTCAACCGAGGATTGCCTCGCCTAAATAAATAAGTAGTAAATGAATAAAAGTTTTTAGTGTAGTATGTGTCCTACCAGGGCCAGCGGTACCGTGAAATCACATGGTGGTTATATGTAGAGTTGCCATTGATGTCATCAACAGGGACAGAATCTTAACATTAGCCTAACCCACAGAGCAAGGGCTATTTTGAGAGGAAGGGTTAATGGAAGGCCCTGGAGTTCTCCTGAACTACCAAGAACATAAATAAACATTCATACTTCATCTCATCACAGAGATTAGTGCTGCTATTAAAGACTTGAAAGATTCAGAGTGATTCCCACTATATCACCATTACCTCTTCAGTTTGGCAGAATAGAAAAGAGATGGTATTTTTTCCATATATTTTTTATTGTAAAATATTCATAACATAAAACTTACTATCTTAAATGTTTTAAATGTACAGTTAAGTGGTATTAAATACATTCATATGGTTGTGCAACCATAGCCACCATCCATCCCCAGCACTCCTTTCATCTTGCAAAACTGACTGGCACTCTGTACCCATTAAATAATTCCCCATTCTCCCCTCTACTCAAGCCCCTGGGAACCACCATTCTGATTTTTTTTAAATTAAATTTATTAGGGTGACATTGGTAATAAAATTCAACTTTCCTTTTTTAATCTCCCCTTTCCCCCCAACACCCTAGCCTCTGATAACCACTATTCTGCTCTCTGTTACTGTGAGTTCAACTTTTTTTAAAAATTCCACATATAGTGAGGTCATGCAACATTTGTCTTTCTGTGACTGGCTAATTTCATGTCACAAAATGTCCTCCAGTTTTATCTATGTTGTCACAAATGGCAGGATTTCCTTTTTTAAAGGCTGAATAATATTCCGTTGTATATATTTATATATGCTTTACATATATTCCTATATGTATTTATATATATACTATATTCCTTTATATATAAATACATATGTATATACCACATTTTCTTTATCCATTCATACATCAACAGAGAAGATAGATGGTCTTAAAGACTGAGAGAGCATTATGATAAACTTATTCTGGTAGGGACCCCCACTTTTCAGAGTGGTCATCTTTAGAGCAGATCGGCACAGTTGTTGGCCTCTCATAGACAATGTAGGTCTAATCCATGCTCCTTCTTCTGTACCAAACCTCAGGAGTAGTTCGCGTTCCTCTGACTGGAGAAGCAGGAAACCTTCACAGTCTTGTTTCAGGAGTATGTCACTCTCTGGACATACCTACTTTACAGGAAATTTTTTTTTTTTTTTTACTATCTCACCATTGCTATGGATATCAAGCTAATCTGTGACACTGATGACATCATCCTGATGGGCCTTGAGAACAGGAAGTAGCAGATACCTTAAATGACTTGGTGACCATGATGTGTGTGCCAGAGAGCAGATCATAGATTCCATAAATACACAGGGGCCTATCTACTAAGTGAACTAGGGGTCTGGGATTTGTTGAGATAGTCCTTACAAAATGAAAGACAAGCTGCCATATACCACACGCTCTACCACTAAGAAAGAGATATAGTACTTGGTAGGCTTCTTTAGACTTGAGTGGTAAAATAGAACATATTTAGGTATTATTTTTACTTGTTACTGAGTCACTTGAAAGTTGCCAACTTTAGGGTGGACCATACAAGGAGGGAGGGTTTTCTAAGTGGATCAGGCTGCGGAGTAAGTAGTTCTGCCTTTGGCCTTTATACTCAGGCACTGGATTTCTGAAACAAAGTTATGTTTTCCTGCACCAAGTAGTTCTCCTTTTGAGAAACAGGCCCTGGCTTGCTGCAAGGGTCTAGTGAAATTGGATGCCTGACCATGGCATAGCTGGTGACCCTGTGATCTGACGTACAATGTTAACTGATCTACCCAGCCATAAAATCAGGGTGGCCCCAGCACTCCATCATCAAGAGGAAATGACATATATAGCGTGGGTCCAAGCAAGCTCTAAGGCATAAGTACGTTGTATGCCTTCAGTATTGAGTTGAACTGAGGAAGAAAAATCTAAAGCCTGCTTTACAGCTGGCTCCAGCCAGAAGTGGATTGCTGGGGTGTTTCAGCCTTCCTCTGAGATGGCCTAAGGCAGTGGTCCCCAACCTTCTTGGTACCAGGGACCGGTGCTCCTGTAAGAATCTAATGCCTGATGATCTGAGGTGGTGCTGAGGCTGGGGAGCAGCTGCAAATACAGATGAAGCTTTGCTTGATGGCCTGCTGCTCACTTCTTGCTGTGCAGCCCAGTTCATAACAGGCCACAGACTGGTACTGGTCCACAGCCTGGGAGTTGGGAACCCCTGGCCTAAAGGACTTAGGAAAGGGAAGTGTTCCCAGAGGCCCCGAAGTAAAGACACACCGAATGCTAGGTGTTGGATAATGGTTGAGTGGGTTGGTCAGAGACTTGAAGAAAACAGAATAAAGGCTTAGTGACAGGAAACTTTGAGGAAGACAAATGTGGACAGATTTCCCAGAATGGCTTCAGAGCATAAGGTTATCTGTGTCCCAAAGAAATATTCTTCAAAAGGACTCTCCACGGAAGAATCCCTTAAAGCCTTGTGGACAGTACAGCTCTTTCTGTGGTTCTCAGGCAGTCTCCTTCCCCAGTCACTTCAGGTCTTGCTCAATGGTTTCTGAGAAAACTGTTCTTCCCCTGGTTGGACTCTCTATTTTCGGAGCTGAGCCCAATTTGCAGCCTTAAGGAATCAGCCCAAGCCCTGGGTGGCACCTGACTTTGAGGAGAACATCCAGCTCTTTCTGGCAGGGAGATTACATTGGACTATGTATTACTCAAGGTTGGCTAACCACCGTAATAAACAATTCCAGCATGTCAGCTTCAATACCGTAAGAGTTTTGTTCTTGTTCATGTCACAGCCCAATGCCAGTCAAAGGGGACTTTGCTGCATGCAGTCATTCAGGGACCCAGTTCCCCTCTATCTTATGGTTTGGTCGCCATCTAGGTTCTCTTCATTCAGCTGGCGGCTGGGAAAGAAGACAGAGTGAGGGTTGCATGGGTTGTTTCTATGAGCAAAGCCTAGAAATGACTATACATCATTTTCACTCCCATTTTGTTGCTGAGATTTCAGCCACATGGCTCTACCTTTCCGTAATCCTTCCTCATACTCCTTTCCCTCTATCCAGGCAACCACTGATCTGCTTTCTGTCTTTGAGAATATTTTGCATTTTCTTACAGTATGTAGTCTTGTAGTCTGTTTTACCTGACTTCTTTTCCTCAGCATAAATATTTGGAGATTCATCCATGTTGTAGCGTGTAGCCGTAACTCATTCCTCCTCACTGCTGAGTAGTCCTCCATTTCATGGAAATACTACAGTTTGATTTTCCATTCGATGTTGATGAGCAATCATGGTAAACATTTTCTCATACCTTAAATTTGCTTACTATGCTACTCCAAGAACTGGAAGAAAATACAGTTAAAGCAAGTATACAATGTACAATGCACTGAAATTGCATCTTTTGCAATTGTTTGAATTTATATATATATTTTATATTAACTCAAAAATGTGTGGGAGCAGGGCTGGCTTCATGGAGGAGCAACCTGCACAACTACACAGAGCCCTGCATTCAGAAGGATTCTAGCTTGGTTTAATGTCCTGCCATTGCCTTCTTGAAATTCTTAATAATGATTGTGCAAGGGGCCCAAGTGTTAATTTTGGACTGGGTTGCTACCATTTCCATAGCCGTGTGAGAGGGTGTGTAGTTTTTAAATTGCTTTCATGGAGCATGCAAGCAAAAGTTGGAAGGCCACTGACCTGAACCCTCAGTCCTGTAAGGCCTTGGGCTTGGAACT